CACCATTGACAGGAGAGATTTGACAGAGGTTACTTCCTGCCTTCACTTATCCATCCAGGAAGTCAGCATCGTTTCAACCAGAGCCTGACAGTCAGACAACATGGATGAAAATGTGAAGGCCAACCAGCCAGCAATCCAGCCACAAGTGAAAAGGTATAATTCGTCTTGATCAACCTGCAACTAGTTCCGAAATCTTCTGTTTCATTCACTCACTCACTCACTCACTCAACCAGCATAAACAACAAGATTTGGATTCTATACAACACAAATATGAAGTGAATAAGATGGTCAGTCAGTTCTTCTATACGGGTTAAAAAATTGCACTGCTTGGTCGTCACAAAAAGCATTTCCAACAGCCTGTTACAGGCTTTTATCAACAGCTGCCCACTTCGCTGACTGGCTCCTCCTAGGGGGCTTGTCAGAAAGAAGAAATTAGCAAGAAGCAACTCTGGCTGGCTGGCTGGCTGGGAACAAACCAACCGAACAAGAGTCGATTGCTCAACAAATATGTGGAAAGAGGCGGAGATGGATCAGGCATATGCGTTGAGGAGGTCGTTGGTCGAATGATATCTCACGTAGTGCAGGCAATCGCTCGAGTGGAATCCGTATGGGAAGTAATGAGTTTGCCGTCAGTGCCAAGATGATATTAAGGAGATCGCTTGGGGGGGGGAGGGGGAGGAGATGAGAGATTATAGGCAATCGTGCAGCTAGCCAGCTGAAGAGGACAGAAAAAGGTGGAAGAAAGTGTAGATGTATTTGTTATGTACTCGTCGCTAAATTATTGTTATGGTCTGGTCGAGAAATTAATAGTCCTGACGCAAGAAGGCAGAAATCAGAAGACCACTAGGTTGCGATGATACTTCTATTTTCCAAACACAAGGAGAAGCAATAAGTGGTATCCCACCAAAGTAAGTGTGTAAGTCACAAGATTGTGAGAACGAAATATATATATAAATGTCAGACAAGTGTGTGAACAAATCATTAGACAGTCTTAACATGAATGGCTAATTATAATGAAGTATCGATCCATATATACACAGCGAATATAGCAGGCATGTCAACAACAACTCATATATTTTGGATATATGTCACCAAGCAACGGCCTGTCAACAAACACTCATATTATATATAATATAATATAAGGAGAATACACATTATTAAAGGAGACAAGTTCACACAAGTGAAATGGTCACAGACTAAGAGAGCAAACAGAAAGAGAGACCACCATACACACACACATATATATATATATATATATATATATGTAGATACATATCTATTTTTTTTATTTATTTTTTTATTTTTGATTACAGCTTGATTCCACACCGTATTTTTGGTACAAGTATGGAATTTTCAGCGTGGATATCGGTAGCCCAAATTTTGCAGGCCGACCATAGATATCAGGTGTGCTTCGTCGGCGTGGGCTAGAACCTCGGACCATGTACATGGTCGGCGAGAGTCCTAACCACTGTGCCACCGACGCACATCAGTATTATCGAAGCCCTATGTTCCACTCGGAACGTGAGCAAATAATAATAATAATAGACATCAAGACAGTAATGATTAACGGATTTAGCATAGCTATCAACAGAATCAAAGAATAGTTAGTTATACCTCTGATCAGAATTGCAAATGACTTGGCGCCTACATTCACCACTTGAATTATGAATAATTTAAACTGCCTGTGTAGACGAGATATCATTGACACATTTTGTTGTGAGTGAACTGTCAATCTCAAATAAAAACGCTGTTTTTTTGTCAAATACTCTTTTCAAAAATTATTTTTTTTGTCATGAGTATCATGCTGAGATAATCTGATTAAGCCTGTCTTTTTCAAAAGACGAAACGTGATACCAAATGCTCTAATATATGACAGAAAGCTTACAATATTTATCACATGATGAAAGTACTTAAGTAATTTTACATTTGATAATGAGTGTACGAGATGTCTTCAAAATGTCATAATTCTGTTGATTTTTTAGAAAGTCTGTACTTAAAATTGTAGTGGACGCATGTATGCGCATAGAAATTCAATAGATTTCTATATACAATAAGAATGGGCTTCTGGCACTCTGAGAATAGAGTATAATTTTTACCATACAATAATTGTGGCATATTTCCAAACCAAGTTCACTTTTAACAGTTTGAAAAAATGACCATATGTCCCTTTTGCCTTCAATTTAACTAATAACACGACCGGTGGCTTTCATAGTTTCAATACTTCTGATGTTCTTAAATGTTTAAAATCTCTTAAACCTTCCCAGACTCAAGGGCCTGATGCTATACCTGCCATTGTCCCAAGGAAATGTACTGATGTTTTAAGTAACCCAATTACAAACATTTTCAATAGTTCTTTTCCTAATAATGTTGTACCTTCTCTGTGGAAAGATATTAAAATCATCCCTGTACCCAAGTCTGATTCTGGAAATAGTGTTAAGTTTAGACCTATTGCTATTACCTCTCCTTTTTTGAAACTAATGGAGAAATTATTGTGACAAAAACTTGTTCCCTCCCTAAGCTTCTCAAATGATCCAAAGCAGTTTGCTTACAAACAGGGTATAAGTACTTTGGATGCTGCTGCTGTGTTTCATCACAACATTGTATCCTCCTTAGACAAAGGGGCCAACCAAGTATGCCCGTTGTACTTTCCCTGATTACACATCTGCTTTTGATTCTGTACCTAGAGGCCTTTTGTTAAACAAGCTTAGCCTTACACAAACTGAGTCCTGTGCTATCAACTGGCTGCATTCTTACTTCTCCAATAGGATGCAGTACACGGTATATAATGGTGTAACTTCCTCTCCTTTGCTTACTGAATCTGGTGTTCCTCAGGGTGCTGTTCTCTCGCCGTTTCTCTTTTCCTTCTTCTTACATGACTTACCTCTCTCAGACGAAATCAAATACGTCAAATATGCAGATGACCTGACTGTTTCGCTTCCCGTTAAGTCTCAGTCAGACTGCTTCAAATTAAACAGCTTCCTGTGGGACATCAGTCAGTGGTCTAAACTAAATGGCCCCATGCTGAATCCCTCAAAATCCCAGACTATTGACTTAATTCTCCTTTAGGCATAAACGAGATCTACAAATACTAGTAAGTACTCATGAAGCCTGTAGCATTGAGGGGACTAAATTTGAAACTAAGTTTAATGCAAGATACCTCGGAGGAGTTCTATCTTCCGACCTTACTTGGTCATCTCATATCCAAACGATTTCTAAGAAAGTGTTTCGTCTAACCTACTACATTAGAAAACTCAGACTAACTGGAGTCACTCAACCTCTACCTTCACAATTTGTCAACTCTCGTATCCTACCTATTCTACTTCACTGTTCCCCATTAGTCTTTCCTGTGTTACTGAAAAAGGACTATACCATCCTGAGAAGGATGTTGAAGGTAGTTAGTAGAACTGGTGACGTAAAACTCAGTCAGCTCGTCACTACATTAGTAGAAAGGCATCTGAAGACATGCGAGAAATGGTCTAAAACCATACTCTCTGACCCCCAACACCCCCTCTATTCCCAACCCTCTCCTTGCATCTCATCAGGTAGAACTAGAAATCAGTGCAAAATAATATATGCTCGTACAACCGAGTATAGGAACTCAACGATACCATATTTGGCCAACCCGTGTTCTAATTGACAGAGACAATGTTAGGCGTGAAACTTATGACTTGATTTGTTGTTAATAACATAATTTTGGCCCTTGTTATTTACCCCTTATACTCTCTTATTTGTAGTCTATAGTGAACACCCTTCTTAAACATACTTAGCTACCTAAAATTATTTTCATTGGCTTACTTTTCTATTCTTTATTCTATTCTTTCTTTTGTGTATCTACTGGGTCCGCCTACATTATCACTGTGAGTATTTCGAAATTGTCCTGTCATTAACCATCATGTAGTTTTGTGGTTGTTTTTTTTTGTTCGGCACTATTTAACTGACAATCTTGTTTGTGAACGCCACTATCACCATCTTAAAAAATTTTGTATAATGCAGGATTCCTCATACTACCACTACAAAACACCGCATTAGTGCTGACAATAAAAAACACACAACCTGAAATGTTTATTTTATGATTGTTTAGTGTAGTTCAATCAAATTAACTGATCATCTTGGTTATAAACATTCTTAATATCATTTTCATAACTTCTTGTATGATTATAGCTGTTACTGTTCGCCACGCATACACATATCATAGCTCCCACTACCAAATACTGAAATATTATTCATTATTGGTGTTTATCTTCCTTTCTACTTCTTGGTATTGTTATTTGCATTTTTTGTTATTTTTTGTTTCGTTTTTGGTTTTTGTTGTTGTTTTCTTATATTTGTTTTTTTGTAATACTCCTTTTAAATGTGCGATGAAATTAGATGCAGAATTGTAGATATGTGCTGAAAATTCCACACTGTACCACAAGTACTGTTTCTGGAATAAAAGCGAAATTAATATTATTATTATTATTATGATTAGATAATTGTTGCATATGTCCAAACCAAGTTCACTTTTAACAGTTTGAAAAAATTTGGGCATTGGGTATGTGATATTCATCATGATAAAGGTTTTTGTATCTCCCAATGAATGAAAAACAAAACGGTATTGTCGTTTTTACTGACATTTTGCCATTTAATGCTAATAGCTTTATCAAAGTATTATTGAACCGGAATTTACAAAATCTCAGCATATACATATAACAAAGAGTTAGAAGGTGAGAAAATAGGCTTAGGTCAAGTTAGAAGGACATATTGAAGGTCAAAATAACAATAAAGATCACTAAACCAAATAACAGAGGTAATAATAGTACATCTGCTATGGTGTAGCGGTAAATAATTCCCCAAAATTATTGACCACAGCAATCACTCATTGGATGCTGACCACCACTGTTTAAGTCGACTTGTTTAGCTGAAGGCTTCCGGTCAAGCATCCCCGCCATTTGGTACCCCGTCGTGTCACGTGCACGATCACTAGCTAGCTAAGCGTTCGTCTGAAGGCTTGTTTTGGTCCCGAAATATATCACGAAGTTTGGACGATCAATTATTGGCTTTTGCTTTGTTTTCGGTACGCGAGAATAATTTAGAGGCTGTGTAAGATAATTCCGTCAACCTCTAAACTGGTGAGCCCAACCGCGAACTTCATCCACGATAAATCCGCAGATAACCCCGGTGAGTTCGTTCCATTTTGTATTTGTTCTTGTACCATATATTATTCGACATAATTTTCGTCATGAGTGATCTTAGTCCCAAGGTCATCCGTATCCGCTCAACTCCTAAAACCATTCAGCTCGTACCATACTGGCCAGATAATGCTGAAACGTGGTTTCTGCTAGCTGAAGCAGATTTTTGTGAGCATGGGATAACCGATCAACGTTCACAGTTACTTGCAGTTATTCACGCCCTACCGCGGGAATTCAGCAAGTACGTAACATCACAGATGTTCAGTCCCGAGGTAAGTAACTCGTACGAGTTGCTCAAAGCATCCCTCCTCAGGAGAAACGTTCTCACGGACCGACAACGTCTAGATGAATTATTTCGTAACATCGAGTTAGGAGATCAGTCAGCCGTGAGCATGCTGACAAGAATGAAAGAAGTCGTCGGCCAAAGTCAGTTCGACGAAGGACTGTTTAGAGAACTCTTCTTAACCAAGCTGCCACAGTCTGTACAGACCGTACTTGTGACACTTCAGGGTACTGTAATAGAGGACTTAGCTATTACTGCAGATAGGATTCTAGAAATAACTAAACGGTCAGTTCCCGAAATATGCTCGATGACTAAGCAGACTTCGAGTAAGGATCCTGCAATGATAGAGTTATGCAACTCCATCCAGCAGATGTTTAGGTCGAACATGCATTCTAACTCCTCCGACCGTCGTCCTAAATCTCCTCAACGCAGGAACTCACGTGGTCGATCTAAGTCCAAACCACGTTCACTGAAAAACCCTGACTGGTGCTGGTACCACAACACCTATGGCCAAGAAGCGAAGTGTTGCCGTAAGCCTTGTAACTTCGGAAATGTCTCAAAGTCTGCGGGAAACTATCCCGCCGGCACGCGTTAGCGGCAACCGTCGCCGGTGGCACTAGCCGCCTACTTTACATCCATGATGTGATAAGCCAGACTCGATACTTAGTCGACACAGGCGCCGAAGTCAGCGTCCTTCCTGCTACAGCAGCAGATCGACAGAAGGAACCTACCTTCAACTTACAGGCTGCAAATGGAAAACCAATCGCAACCTTTGGTAGGAAATACGTCTATCTGAACGTAGGTTTACGCAAACCTATTCGGTGGATTTTCCTTCTCGCTGACGTTACAATGCCCATCATTGGCACGGACCTACTTAATCATCATGATTTACTCGTAGACGTCCGCCGAAAACGACTGATTGACAATACTACTAGTCTGTCTATCAAAGGCATCAGCTACATAGGCCCTAGTTTGTCACCCGTTAAGATAAAGGCAATTCTTGATCCAACTTTTCAACCTATGTTGACAAGTATCCGGAACTTAACTGCCCGTCGAACGACCTACCGTGCATAACCAGCAATGTTATGCACCACATCATTACCACAGGACAACCTGTGACATCTAAAGCACGACGATTAGCTCCTGACAAACTGAGAATCGCCAGGAATGAATTTGACCATATGCTTACCCTTGGCATCATTCGACCTTCGAATAGCCCATGGGCATCCCCACTTCATATGGTTCCGAAAAAGGATAGCAATGATTGGCGACCCACCGGTGATTACCGGCGAGTGAATGCCAAAACAACCCCTGATTGCTACCCGTTGCCTCATATACACGACTTGACGGCAACCTTATCCGGCGCGACTATATTCTCCAAAATCGACTTGGTTAAAGCGTATAACCAAATCCCGATGGCAACAGAAGATATCCCGAAAACGGCTATCATTACGCCTTTCGGACTTTTTGAATTTCTACGTATGCCATTCGGTCTCCGGAATGCAGCCCAAACATTCCAACGCTTCATTGACGAAGTATTTCGCGGTCTCGACTTTGTATACGCATACTTAGACGACTGCCTCATTGCCAGTCCAGACAAGGAAACTCACCTTAGGCACTTGGACTTGGCATTTGAAAGGTTACGCCAACATGGTGTTACCATTAATATTCAAAAATGTCAAATCGGTGTTGACTCACTCGACTTTCTGGGTCACACTATTGACTGCAAGGGCATTCGCCCACTGGCTACTAAGGTCGAGGCTATACTGAACTTTCCAGAGCCACAGACGGTGAAAAGTCTCCGCACTTTTAACGGCTTAGTAAGTTATTATCGACGCTTTATTCCCAACTGTGCCTCTTTGATTCAGCCATTGACAGACCTCCTTCGAGGGAATAACAAGTCCATAGAACTTGACGCGTCTGCTCGAAATGCTTTTACCCAGATTAAAAAAGCTATTGCGAATGCCACACTTCTGATGTATCAGGATCCAACGGCACCGTTAAGTATCTCGGTTGATGCATCAAACACTGCAATCGGCGCAGTTCTACAACAGCTAGTTGACAATGAGTGGCAACCACTCGCCTTTTTCTCCAGGCGCCTTCAATTAGCTGAAACGAAGTACAGCACATTCGGCAGAGAACTTCTGGCTATGTACTGTGCTATACGACATTTTAGACATTCGGTAGAGGGTCGTGAATTCATAATTTTTACGGATCACAAACCTCTGACGTACTCTCTGAACTCACCTTCAGATAAGTATTCACCCAGGGAATCACGACAACTGGATTACGTCTCACAGTTTACATCAGATATTCGCCATGTATCCGGAGTAAACAACACTGTGGCAGATGCCTTGTCGCGCGTTTGTTCCCTCACCCAAATCGACGGCATAGACCTTGTAAAACTGGCTCGTCTTCAAAAAGAAGATACCGAGCTTCAACATGAGTTGTCGAAAACAACTCTACAATTAGCTGAGAAACCCTTAGGTATGGGAAGAGATACTATTCTATGTGACATTTCCACGAGTACTCCTCGCCCCATCGTGCCTAAAAGTTATCGCCGTAACGTCTTCAATACGTTGCATGGCTTATCTCACCCAGGTATTCGAACTACTGTCAAGCTCGTAACTAGTCGGTTTTGTTGGCCTGGCATTAATAAAGAAGTAAGGGAATGGGCACACACGTGCTTAGCTTGTCAAAAGTGCAAGGTGATAAGACACACCAAAAGCCCACTTGGCACCTTTCTTCTCCCTGACGCTCGTTTCGAACACGTCCATATAGATTTGGTTGGACCCCTTCCTGAATCACATGGATATGCCTATATTTTAACTTGCATCGATCGATTCACACGATGGCCGGAAGCAGTACCCATCAAGGATGTATCTGCTGAAACAGTCGCACGCGTCTTCGTAGAAAGATGGATCGCTAACTTTGGATGCCCATCTTCCATAACAACTGATCGCGGGCGGCAATTCGAAAGTGGCTTATTCTTCGCCCTGACTAAAATCATAGGTTGCATGCGTTTTCGAACAACAGCCTACCATCCTCAAGCTAATGGTATGGTAGAACGTCTACACAGACAGCTGAAAGCTGGTCTGTCAGCTGCAAACACCACCCATTGGACTGAATCCCTTCCGTTAGTTCTCCTAGGGATACGAAACGCCTTGAAAACCGATGCTGGTTGTACTAGCGCCGAGCTAGTATATGGCACGACACTGCGACTGCCTGGTGAATTTGTTTCTCCCTCGAGCTTCCCACCAGTGGTAGATCACGCTTCATACGTCAGCAGGCTTACAAACGCAATGCGTTCAGTTAAACCTGCTCCCCTTCGTCCACAGTCCATTGATGTTTTCGTTCATCCGTGTTTGAAAACTTCTTCACATGTATTTGTTCGTCGCGACTCTGTGCGCAGACCCCTGGAACCTCCATACGACGGACCTTATAAAGTAATTAAACGTTCTGATAAATTCTTTGTCTTGGACAAAAACGGCCGCGAGGACACCGTCAGCATTGACCGTCTGAAACCGGCTTACTTGGAGGGTAATCCTATTAGCATAGAGCTCAACGTACCCCAAAATCCACAAGTAACAGAAGATCGTTTAGACATCGATGAAGTCACTAGCACAGCGACAGCTACCGAACCTTCTATCGAGCCTCCCAAGAAAACCCGTTCTGGACGCACCGTAAGGTTCCCAGAATATCTGCACACTTATTTGACTTAACGAAGTCGTGTGATTCACGCAACTCATTCGTTTGTGGTACTGACTATTTTTTTTGACGTATCAATTTTTTTTATATACAGTACCACCGAACACAAAAATTTTTTTTCAACAGTTCATGTAACATACACAAAAAAATTAATTAGATGTTTTTTTTTCGATGTTCTGAACTTAGCATTATTTTACTGTATAGTAAATGCACATCATTTTTTTTAACCAAAAAGCTGATTTGGTACATTTTCCTCGACATGGTTCTTAGCGTTCTTGTTTTCTTTTCCAGGTGCGACGGGCACTGGACAGGAAACAAACGAAGCACGGAATCCAACGAACAACAACAAGGAAGCTATGTACAAACACCCTATTAGCATAGGCAGACAAACCAGTAGGCATACGACCAAGCCGCTCGGAAGATTTTTTTCACCCGAAAGGGAACCATCGAGTTTTTTTACTTCCGGCTGGTTCTGTCTTAGGGTCCTCACGACCCCACTAGGGGGGAGTGAGCTGTAGCGGTAAATAATTCCCCAAAATTATTGACCACAGCAATCACTCATTGGATGCTGACCACCACTGTTTAAGTCGACTTGTTTAGCTGAAGGCTTCCGGTCAAGCATCCCCGCCATTTGGTACCCCGTCGTGTCACGTGCACGATCACTAGCTAGCTAAGCGTTCGTCTGAAGGCTTGTTTTGGTCCCGAAATATATCACGAAGTTTGGACGATCAATTATTGGCTTTTGCTTTGTTTTCGGTACGCGAGAATAATTTAGAGGCTGTGTAAGATAATTTCGTCAAACCTCTAAAATGATATCAAAACAAAGTTTACTAACTTGATCATCGCTCCTCAATATGTGGTCATTTTTCGTTCTCAAAGTGGTTAATCGGTGAAGATAACAAAACCAGATGTAGATTGTTGGATTCGACAAGTGTATAAAATTATAAGAGGAGCAGTATGTGTTTACATAATGAAATCGTTGATCACATTCGTGTTGATTTTGTCACTTCATGAGGGAGGGAGATGTTGTAACCCGGTCAAATTCTGTTTTGGTCCATCATTCCCATTTAGTTCAGACAATTTAGATTCCATTTGATATGAAGTGCTTCTGATGATATGAGAAGTTCTTTGTGATTTCTGAAATTTTTCTGGATGGTGATTTCAATATTGTCAAAATCAATTTGTGACCTGATTTTATAGCGTAGCGTGTAAACCTATGGCTGATGATTCTTCAAGCTTTCCTAGTTCAACCGGATTTCTCAGTGGTCAAACAGATGCTCT